GAGCAGTGCGACCTAGAGAACAAGTTTCAAACAAACGCAAACCCTCAGCCCCAAATCCTTGTAGCCGAAATATAAACCCAGCTTGAAGCGGAACAGACGACGCCAAGCTACGAGCCTGACCAGGCACGGGCTCAGATCTTAGGCTTGAGGGTTTAATGTTTACGGTTGCGGTTAAGGTTTACGGCATCTTCTGTTCTGGGGGGTGTGAGTCTTGAATAGCGTGCTTGTTGTTCAGAGGTGTAATATCTGCCTATGATGGGCTTCCAAGCGGTATGATTGCAACTGTTGTATCAGCTTGAACTTGATGACTTTTGGTCTTGCGGTTCTGCAGTTTATGCGGTTTACGGTTTAGGGGGTCAAAGGTGCATTAGCCTCTGGATTGCGGTTTGAGGGAGGTTAGGGTTGGGTTCACGACTTTTGGGTTGAGGGTCTGCTGACCAAGTTTGCATCCACACCCCATCCCAAGATCCTAAACCTCGCTGAAGCTGGGAAGCTTTTTGCTGTATAGGTCACAACTCTAAGCCGTTTAAAGTTATCGTGCCTGAGCAGGCATGTCGTTTTGCTGGTGTTTTTGGCAGAGGCTCCGACACAAGTTTTCTTTGAAGCCAACACAAAACCCATCAAATCAACCCTAGGAAGATGACGACTTCCAGCTGCTTCGTGCGGAGCCGCCTGAGACGAACGTGTCGCGAGCCCAGCACGCAAAGGACCGAGCAGGAACCGCATGGGCAGTCAGAAGTATAGTTACCCATACCTACTTCAGTAGTTACAAGATGTTACGAGTATACTGCGTTTGCTTATAACAGTATTGGCCAAGTCCCATGAATTTTTAAACTCGGGTAGAGGGTTCTTTGACTAACCCCTGAAGCCTGAACCGTAGCTCACGAAGCCCAGCACCCAAAATCCTTGCCCAATCCTTAAACCCTAAACCCTAAACCTTAAACCCTAAACCCAAAACCCTAAACCCTAAGCCTTAAACCCTAAACCCGCAAACAAAAAGCTATGCCCCAGACTCTCAGGCCAGAATTCTGAGATCGAGGCAACACCGCTCATCCATCTCATGTGCGTCCAGCACTCCCTATAGACAATCTGAAGGTCCTGCTTCTTCAGATGTAATATAGGGGCCTTAATAATTATCTGTTGTACTATTTTGGGGGCTACTTATTATAACTATAGTGTAATATACCTCAAAACCCTATTCTGCTAGACTCTTCCGGATCCTTCTCCAAGCGCGGTCTTAGGCAACCAGCTGCTCGAGGAGGCTCTGGCGGCTCTTTGAACATGTGAGAGGTTTAGGGTTCAGGGTTTAGGTCTATGAATGTTAGGGATATATATATATATATGGACATGTGCCTGATAGGGTTCCCTTAAAGGCAACCTCCTGGACCTACAGCATCCCAAGCCACAAGGTCCCGGGGTAACGGGAAGGGGGGAGTTACAAACTACAAACAGAGCAGGTACAGCATAGAACGGGTTAATTGAGTTCGAAAACCATTCGTTAGACACGGTTTTGAGGCTGACGATCTTGCTATTCAACTCTGAATCAGTCGCTGAATCGTGACGGTTTTTTCAGGATTCCAGTAGTTTCCAATCACCGGCGATACATCGCCGATCTTTTTGGGTGGCATCGGTGGCGCACCAAGCCATGGCATGCTGCGGCGCTGTTTCGCCAACCGCCTTGGAGCAGTATCTGGATCATCCCCGGGAACGGTTTTCAACTATTATGGGCAGAATCCGTGCATATTCCAGATGAGCCCATAGGAATTTACATTCTTTTAGAGCCCCCTGAGTCAGATGAAGGTACGCAAACTCCATTCGAGGGCAGCTCCATGGCTTGGAGCTATGCATGGATTTTCCGATGTACACGGTACCTTTACGCCCCCCGGTTCTGCTGAAGGCAATGTAGGTGTTTTGGACTAGGGTCTAGGGTTCAAGGTGACATGTCGAGAATCTTTCTTGTTCAGCATGTTTCTTGGTGGGCGCATGTTTCTGCGCTGAAATCCGAGGCACCTTAATGGAGATGACTCGCTTAGAGCCTCACGAGGTGATGAAGGAACAAGGTCTGTTGGTGGAGTTTGACAGGAAGATGGGCAAGGCAGTCTTTGCTTCACACCCCATAGACCTTGCAGCCTAACCCTGAAGCCGGAACCCTAAAATCCCTAAAACCCTAACCAAACCCTAAACCTGGAACCCTGAACCCTAAGCCCTACACCTAAACCCCTGGGCAAGGCAGTCTTTGTTTCACACCAGTGGTTGGACGCCGATCATCCCGACCCAGACTGCCGGCAGATGCGGGTGCTGCAAGATGCTCTGAGGACAGTCGCAGGGTTGGATTCAGAAGAGGCTTCGGGTTTAGGGGTCAGGGCTTAGGGTCTGGGGAGTGATTGGAGTCTAGGGCTTAGGGCTAAGGGTGAACCATCATCCCTGCACGTTTCTCATACAGCCATAAGAGTTTTTTTCACATGCGTAGTTCTCTCCTCCGGGGTCCCTTTTTTAAGTCCCCCAAAATAGTACGGCCCTTTTCAAAAGGACCCGAAAAGTGATTTTAATTTAGAGAGCTACCCACATTGCATGGAGCCCTAAACCCTAAATCCTGAGCCAGATCTAGGTCAAGAGCATGCGGAGCATCCCTGTGGATGTTGTGAGCGAGACTCTGAATCATGGCACACCCTTGCCGTCATCCGAGCTCCTCTCCGAACCGCTCTTCTTTTGGTACGATTACTTCTCGTGCCCCCAGAAGGAAGAGCGAACCAAAAGCCATAAGCGGCTTGCCATCAACAGTATACCGGCCTTTGTGGATAGTTGCTCCTTCTTTTTTGCGCTCGTACCAGTGTTGGAGAATCCAGATGGAACCAATGCAATCTCTCCCGGGAGCTGGCATGGCCGGGGGTGGTGCAGGCTAGAGAGGACTTGCCGAGAACTCGCTCAGAATCACGACTGGGTAGTGGTGAAAGGCCCTGAAGACCTTGAGCTCATCTCAGGTGCGGTGGCATCCACTCGTGCTGGGGCTGGGCCAGTGGGTGAAGGTGTTTTCACTGTGGCGAAGGATCGCTTGTTTCTCGGGTCAGTCCTCATGACGGCGCTGAAGCGGAAGTTGATGAGCCTGCTGGACGCACAGGATTTTCCCGGCTATCGTGCTTTCCTCAACCAGCAACCTGCACTATTTAGAGGTTTGGAGTGTGATGCCTTGGCCCCAGTCCCTGGTTTTGAGATTGATCTGAATTCCCCATGGCGTGCCATGAACTTCTTCCATCAGAATGGTTTCCGCAGCATTTCGGACAAAGACCGCTGCGGGTGGATGCCTCTCCACTATGCTGCGGTGAATGGAGATCCAGCACTGGTTCAAGATTTGCTGGTGCTTCGAGCAGATCCAGACCAAGGCACCACAGGAATCCACCCATCCTTCGGCTTTGAGAGGGGGATGCTGCCTATTAGCATTGCTTGCCTCTTCCGGAACACTGACCTCATCCAGTTTCTCATCTCCGCCAAGGCTAAAGTGACCAGCAACGTTGTGATTCACGGCCCCCTCCATTGCGCCGCTGCTCAGAGCACCAGGGAATCCATGCGGATCCTCTTGGAGGCTCGTTGCAGCCCGCTGGAACAAAATTCTTTTGGCGGGACGATCCTCCAAATGGCGGCCTACTACGGATCCTGTGAAGCCATTGATGAGCTCCCAAGACATGTCAACACACCCCTGAATGCATCTGAAGCTCTTCATAGTGCAGCCTTGGGTGGGGCAGGTGCCGAGGTGGTCCATCGACTGGTTGAGATCAGAGCAGATGTGAATATTCAGACAGATGAACACTTCACGCGCAAACCGCTCATGCGAGCCGTGTACACGCTATTGACTCTACAACACCGCTTTTACAAGGTGACTCCTTTCTCCAAGGTCATGTATCATGCGAAGGGTGCAACCCCGTTGATGGTGGCCATGCTGTGCTGCAACCATGAATGTGCGGCAGCCCTGATATCAGCAGGAGCACAGGTTAACTTGCGGAATGCACGTGGATGCACTGCCGCAGACTTCGCCGTCGGCCATTCGTTGCCGGAATTCTTGCGGGAGGCTTTTGAAGGAAGAGTGGAGGCATGCCGAAGGGTGTCATTGTTGGCACGTGGTTGGGTGGAGCTTTCCTTCTGACATGATTTCAAGAGGTGACGAGAACATCTCGGGCGAAGCTCGAGAGTTTCAGTTTCGGATTTTCGCGACATATGTTGCTCGCTGCGCGCTGCGTTGGACTACCCCTCATTGATTACAATTAGCGGAACCGAAGTATGGCACATCGTCTGGTATAGTTGGGGTAGATCACCCGACCCAACCGAAGTTCATGAATTTTGTTTTCAAAACAGGGATCATTCAACATGCCCCCAAATGGTGGGACCCCAGACGGTGGGACCAGCATGTTGTTGGGTCGACCACGTTCGCAAGTATCAACACGCATGACCGTGTGTCCAAAAGGCGTTGATTGCCAGTGGCTGAGCCGGAAGTAATACATGATCATCATAATGCTAATGATGGCAATCACAGTATTATAGTAGTAACAGTAGGATGACAATACAGTACTTTGATAATCCAGTGTTCACAACAAGAACAATCAGAGTAATCATGTGAAGGTCGGTGGGCCGGCCTTGCGTGCAGCGCCACTACCGAAGGATTCGGGTTCCTGCGCATCCAAAAGGCTTGTAGGGATGATTGCAGGGAGTATTATGGGAAGGCTGGGGATGGGATCCTTGAGATCACAACTAAGCATCTCTGTCGGCGGATCTTAATAGTCGGGGCGTTACAGTACTGATAACATGGAGTAAATCATCGAGGGACCCTGTACTTAAAACAGTCCATGTAGGGACCATGTAGGCCTCCCTCCCAGCCACTAAAGGGGGTCCATTTGACCTCAGTGTAGCGATGATTACAAGTCCCCTTTCAAGGCTACCTTCAGAATTTTCCGGGCTCCCTGGCTACTCGGGATCTTTTCGGCTGGCCGTTCTTTGAACAGGCACTTCTTGGAAAAAACCGGGATAGGCCTAGGACTTAGTGCTAAGGTGTTGCAGGCATGCATGCAGTTGTACTGCGACTCTACAGAGGTGTTGACGGCTTCGATGCACGATGTTCCGTCTGAGCCAAATGGAGGGTTTAGGGTTTAGTTCCGGGGGGGGGGCCCTATACCCTAGATCAAATCCGGTTTAGACTTTAGGGTTTAGGCGGCCAGGTGGTACGACATCCGGCCTTGTTTTTGGCAAGGCTCGTTGCCTTGGCCGTGTTCAAACCTACGCCCAAGCTGCAAACCCTAAATTCCAAGCCCGTGACCCTGTGATGCACCCTTCCCGGTACGATCGTCCCTGGCAGGAAAGTTCTTTGTGCACGAGGTTCCGGTGTGCTGGAGGCTGCGGTCTTGGCATCGTTTCATCTGCAGGCTTGGGAGTTGTGGCTCAAAGGCTATCGTCTCGCGTGGTTGTTAGTTCACACTGGCATCGAATAACCTTCCCGGCAACCCACGGTCTACGGGCCATCGCCAGTGTTTGCCGATGTTTTACCGTCCTTCAAATTCTTATTCGTATCCTCTGGAGGGTTTCTGTGTAAAGCTGCGTTTCGGTTATGTTTGCGAAGCTTGCAACTGGGAACCGCCCCGACCCAAAACCGCAAGCCCGAAAGTCTTTTCTCAGCTTGAGACCCCCACTCCTAAAGTCCTGCTTGCCGAGCCGCAGGCTGCAGTTTGGTTATTTCGGGGTTAGATGTGTAGCGTGTTCGTTGATGCTTTAGGATGTAGCCTGTGAGGGAGTCCTGACACAGCGCACCCCTTGAGCCTTGGAGCCTAGACCTTTCACCGTCTGCATCAATGCGTCCGTGGAACTCGGCAGGAGAAAATGTAAGCTTTGAGGCTTCAACCCAGTCAACATGGTTCGAAACTAAGCGGGAAGTACAGTATAGGGGGGCTCACAGCATCTTGCGCTACAGTAGTAATAACGTAGCGATCTTAAACGGACACGGAGGTTGAAACGGCTCTCAATATTCCTGCTTAAGGTCCGATGGGTTCTTTCAAAGCCTCCCTGCTTTCAGGATGCCTGTGATCCGAGGTCGGGAAGCAGATGGTGCCCCAGGCCACATCCGGTTCTTGCAGGCATCTAATTGCTCTGCACTTGCACGCTTTTCGGTGTTTCGGTTCTTACTTTCCAAAGGTTGTGGGAATACGTTGAGAGGTTGTTGGTTCGGGGAGTTTAGGAGAGAAGCCGCTGAGAGACGCTTCGTGTTGTATCGAAACAGGGCCTTTTGTTCGACGTCCCTGCTGTTTTACCGTTGACCGTCAGGGTCCTGAATCTTAGGGCTCACTTGCCCAATAAACTGGATCCTTTGGCGTGAGACTGTCTGTACTGTATTATCATTGTTGCGCTTGACTCACGAACACCTCTTCTTCGGCAGCTTTCTTGGTTTGCAGGAGACGATAGCCGTGGATAGTTGTAGCTCTTGCAAAGATGACCATGGTAGAAAAGGTCCTGGTCGTGGTGACTTTCGTCATCAGCTTGGCCGTGAATGGTTTGGCAGCAAGTGGTGTTTTCGGGCAGTCGATCGGTGCCATCTCGGCCCAGTATCCCACCTACGTGACTCCAGACGGCTTGACCTTCTTGATTTGGAGTGTAATCTACACCCTGGAGTGGCTTGGACTATTCACCTGTACGCTATCCCAAGTTCGTCAAGCTGTGAAGTGATATCAGGTAGACTCGATTGTACAGAGCCCGCAGAAACCTCGCAGCATTTCAATTCTGTAAACCTGCAAACCTTCGGGACCTGTAGAGGCCTAGAGAGTGCAGCAACTTAGAAACCCTAGACGCTCTGGTCGAAGCTTTCATGGGACCCGAGCCTAAACCCTAAAGCGCCAAACCTTAGATCCCAAGGCCGCAGCCCTCCACCCGTAGCTACCTCAAACCCTGCTGTGCCAGAATGACACTTGCTAAGCCCGATACCTGTAGCGATCGGCTATCTGGATGCTTTAGATGTCGTGTGATTTTTTACAAGAAGCTCGAAGTAATCCAGACAGGTGAAGGCTCTAGGCAAAGGGGCGCTAGAGTTGAGGCTTTGTCCTGTGAAAGATAAGGCTGATTCTCGTGATCGCGCAGTGCTTCCCTTCTGAGAGTGCCGAGAAGCTCCTGCAGCAGGGGCCCCGGTTTTGTGCCGGTCCCGAGAGTTGATCTGCACTGGAGTCTACGGCTTAGGCTGGAGGTTTACGTGTTGGGTTTCAGTTAGGATCCAGTGATTCAAGACTTTCCTTAGTCCAACTCTGGAGATTCTCGTGCCGGGGGTCTGGCAGTGTAATGTGACTTGGCTTTGAGCCGAGGCGGTCCTGCTGCCTGACCAGCACCACAGTTCGTGTGCGGCTGATCATCGCGTTTCTGGGTCGTGGTCCAGGAGCTTACGAGCTTACATGAGGATACCATCATAGTAAATTCATATGCCTTCCGTGTTATGACAACTTAAACTAGGCTTTTTCACAAGAATTGAGGTTTCTCCTCAACGCACTCTGGTTGCCTGTCTACGTCAACCTGTACTGGGGCAAGGCTCTGCTTATCATCGTCCTCTACCTCATTTTTCTGCTCTTGGCTTGCATCGACATAAACACCCTAACTACGACCTCGTTCTTGGAGTGGGTCTTGTACGGTGCGGGCATTGCATGCAACATCAGTTGGGTGCTTGTGGCGACAGCCGCCAACTTGTTCACTCTTCTCGGCTCCTTCGGTTGGGAGGACGTCTATGGAGTTGCAGGGACCCCATGGGCCGCGGTCCTTGTTGTCGCCGTCGTTGCATCCGTGGCCGTTGTGATAGGCTCAATGCGTAGCGATTTTGCTTGGTCGATTACAGCAGCCTGGGCTCTAGGAGGGCTGCACAGGCAGCACACGATCTCCGACCCGAGCAGCTTCCCTCCGGAAGCGATGAACAAGACGTTGGCGCTGTGCGCGCTCTGGGCGGCCATCGTTGTTGGGGTAGCAACGGTGACCGGCCTCTTCCTGATCCCTTACAATGGCGCCTTCAAGTCCAAGGGTCGGGAGACAGAGCACAAGCCCCTGAGCACAAGCCCCTGATCGTAGGATGATCTCCTGTTAGCCGAAGACGTCGAAGCTTGACATCGTGTACGGTGGCCTCAACGAAGATTGACGGGTGCTGAGCACGGTACAGGGGTCGGGACTCAGGGTCAGATGTCAGCGCAGCCAGGTAGGGAAGTGCTGGAACATGGAAACAGAGCCTTTGCAAGTCCCTGGCCTGCTGCAGCAGAGACAAAGCACTCCTAAAACTTGAGGCCCCCTTAAGCGCCAAGCAAGCTCCTCCCCCGATTCCCTCAACTCAAGACGAGGTCGTCATTGAACGTTTGTAGAGAATTTTTCACATTGGCAGCTTCGCGGGCAGAGGAGATCAGGCCGCAAATGGCTCTGAAGTAGATCTGATTTTGAGTATCCTTTTGCACAAGTGAGTTTGTTTAAGATCTTTCACCATGCGAGTGGATGCGTGTCAAAGGCATGATGCATGCAAGGAAGTCGTTCGAGCAGCCGCCTTGCGATCCCACAATCTGAGCACTGAAAAAGCTGCTCGAGTGGCATAATTCCATCAGATGACAAGTATTTGATGGTGACAGTGTCGAACGAAGCAGAGCAGTTGGCTACAACTGCTCTATTGCACCCATTGGTTGGACCTAACAGATTTTTAACATTGCTGGTTGTTTGTAGACCTCCCATCACGCAGCATCCTGCACTGTTGTTGTTGATGCATAGTCTCAGCTGCTCTCCGGGCTAGAACAAGCGCCGCGAACTGCTTGGAATGCAGGGAGACCTGAAAAGCGTTAGCCAGTCGTCGTTACGGCAGGTCCGCCTTGCTGTCTGCATTATGCCCCGAACGTATCCCTTGTTAGAGCGAACTGTTTGGAATGAGGAGTTTGGGTCTAGCAAGAAAGCTTGGCATTCTGTTCTGCATTCCTTTGGGCTGTCTACGTGCTCAAATGTTAGCTGATTTCAGGCTCCGAAGAGAGCTCAGCAGCCATGGCGAACATTGGGGAGAAACTCCTGGTGCTGTTGACCTTCCTCTTCAGCCTGGTGATCAATGGTTTGGCTGCGAGCGGTTCTCTTTCCGCCGACACCATCGCCGAAGTGTCCGACAAGTACCCGACCTATGTCACTCCGGACCGGTTGACCTTCGCAGTCTGGGGTGTGATCTACATACTTGAGCTTTTACTCGTAGTAGCCCAATTTGGCACCAGTGAGCGTACAGAGAAGGCGCTGTCTAAACCTGGTTGCCTCACAAGCCTTTCGGTTCGTTGGCGCTTGATCATCGCATTCCTGCTTAATGCGCTTTGGCTGCCGCTCTACACCAACTTGCAGTTTGGCAAGGCGCTGCTGGTCATCATTCTGTACTTGATACTCCTCCTCTCGATCTATATCGATGTCAACACGGTTTCTTTGCAGTCGTTTTGGGAATGGGTCGTGTACGGGTCGGGCATTGCCTGCAATCTCAGTTGGGTGATCGTGGCAACCCTTGCCAACAAGTTGAATCTGGCAGCAAGCTACGGCATTGGAGTAGACCAGCGCCTCGGGCTGATTCAGCGGGTTGTAAAGCTGGTGGCTGACTTTTTCCTCAACATGGCACAGCCTTACATAGAACGACTCCTTGCGCAAACTCTCCTAAATACACATTGCCTGCAGATGTCTGCTCGTTTGTCACATTGCATGTGCCGCCGTGTCTTGCACTCAGCGTGCAGACAATGGAATCCTTTCCGAAATGCTTTATCGGGGTTGTGCGACTGCCAAACTGCTGTGATTCTGCGACATGTCCCATGATGTCAGAACTCCAGCCTTAGGTTCCCGAAACCTCAGCTGAGACTTGTACCATACACCAGACTAAGAACCCCTGCACAGTTTGAAGTTTGTGCCTAAATTGAGGGGTATTGGTCTCGGGTCCCAGTAGCCTGCTGGCAGGTATGGAGTTGCTGGGACACCCCATTTTGCGATTTTGTTAGTTGCGCTCCTCGCTGCCAAAGCCATCGTGATGGGCACCGCGCGGAGTGACCTTGCTTGGTCCCTGGTGGCGGTGGCCCAATCGCACTGGGGAAATGTGGTTTCCTTCTTCTCATCTTTGCGCCATAGTTCGGCCTTGAATTGATGGTTCAACCCCGGCCCCTTCCACTTCCAACCGGGCTTGCAAGACCTTACAAAGTATCGAACCTAGGCAAAACCTTATCGAAATCAGGTTTGGTTCCTCGCCGGCCTCTATCGCCAGCACACCTACCCCAGCAACTTTCCTCAGGAGCCCTGCGCTGGAGAACACGTCACAAATCGCCAGACTTTGGAAGCTTTAAGTCCGAAGCTCTCTCATCTTGTCCGCCCAAAACCTCAACCCAGAAGGTTTTAACTTTCTAACTCCTAAACCACAGGAGCCTACTGTAAGTCCTTAAACCTTGCACCTTGAAAGATCGAAGCTTTAAAGCCCTAAAGCCCAACACAAAGCCTCGAACCACAAGCCACCAGGGAGCAACTTTAAAAAACCCAGCAGCTCCCCCAGGAGGCCATGAGCCGGACCTTGGCTTTGGCACCCCGGGCTTCTTAAAGATTCTGGCAGGGGATTCAGGGCTCAAGGTTTGGTTCCGAGGGTTTGGAGGGTTTCAGAAGAGTTGCTGGGGGTTTGATTCTTTCTTTCGGAGGTGTTTAGGGGGCGTTTAAGAAGCCAATTGCATGAAGGGTTCAAGGAAAGCCTGTGGCCTCTAGAGGGCTGCTGCTGCGGATTGCGTGTTGGGTGCGCAGAAGTCTCGACGGTCAGAGGCCATCAGAAGCAGGTAGGAGCCCCGCTGATGGGAACCTAGGTCTGCCTATGGTCCGGCTGTGTCGTCAGCCTGGCCACGGTGTGCGGGCTGTTCATGACCTCCTCCAACGGCGCGTTCCGTCCGAACGACGGGGCGGCAGAATGATGGCCGAAAGCCTTGTGTTCAAGGCTGCTTGCACTGAGAACGGGTAGGACTCATAGCTGAATGAACTCGAATAAATCCCGTAAACCCCGCCCAGGTTCGTCATTCCATTCTGCTTGTCGTTCGTATTCAGATCATTTTTGAGTTCAGGCCGTCGAACTATGGACTTTAGTGGCGGCCTCAACGAAGATTGAAGGGCGCTGTGCGTAGAGGGTTATCGTAATTCACGTGTGCAGTTCGGCAGATACCTGCTTGAGCTGTTGCGATGTCGCAATGTCTGAGTATTCAGGAGGAGAGAGCAGATGCACTCGCAGCAGGACGATGTTAGTTGATCCGACAACGCCACGGCCTTGCTGTCCAGCTTGATGTGAATGTGGCAAAAACACTCGTGTAAGATGCAGAGTGGAGTGAAGTGGCGTTGTCGGCTCTCACATCGGCCTGCGGCACGGGAAGGATTCCAGGAGCAAAGTCACTGTTGTCTTCTACAGGGCTTTCGTAGTCCAAGCCGCGTATGATGACATGTTCAGTGTGCCACGATTCTTTCCTGGACCTGCCAAGGATGCACTGTGTAAGTTAATCTATGCATGTGCCAGCAATTGAAAGCCTTTGTTGGCAACCGCCTTTCTACAAGCTCTTGTGCCTGGGTGTATGGTTTCGTGTTTCTGGCAGCGTCTGGTAGTCTGGTCGAACTCAATGTGTGTAGGCTGCGTCAATTTTGGTAGATGGGCATCGGCACCTCAAGCGTGCCACCTTCAGTCGCCAGGGTTCTCTAAAAAGGGGCTTCCGGCTGATGGTCCGATCATAAAAGGAGCCCCGCAATTTCGAAGTCTCACGCACCGAAGCAGTCAAAAAAGGGTCCTCTGAAAATCGCTTGGGATCGCTCAGCCCGAAACCCGCGATATACGTAGAGTTTAGGCTTTAGGAGGCCTTAAAGCTAAACCAGAGCAGTGCCGCTGGTGTCAAGGCGAACGTCTGTGCCGCGCGGCACATGCTTCGCCGGTAGGCGTGGTCCAGGCCTGAAGCGGGCCGCATTGCTATCTGCAATATCCAGGCATTATGTTGCGGGGGTTCGCGCCGCCTTTCAGAGAGGAATGATTGTCACAGTTTGTTCTGGTGCAGGTGGGGTGCTGTGGTTTTGGGGGCGGCGATGCCATGGTTAACCCAATACAACAAAGAAGCTAACCAACCCTCACCAACTGCTGGCTGCATCTGTCAAGCCGAAGCTTGACTCCAACGCGTCCAGAACAGCTGACTCTGGTATGGCGCAGATATGTCACGCCGCAGCAGGGGGTGATGGAGGGTGCTGCTCGCAGCAGCACAGCCTTCGCTGGCAAGGTTTCCGATCCTCGAGCGGCGGAGTTTTGAATGAACTTCGTCAGCTCTGACCCCGGCGGTAAACCCTAGGTAGCCTAGTGTGGATCTCAGTTCTAGGTTTCTGACTCTGCAAGCAGCCTGACATGTGATTGAGTGGATGCCGGCTCGGAGCTTTTACCATGCAGCTTACACATCCATGTACCACGGCTGTCATGTCGAGCATCCCAAGTTGCGTTCCAGCTTTAAGCCTTTTCTGTCCACGGATGTCAGCAGCGTTCGCCCAAGAAGTCAAGAGTGCACATCTGTAGACAGGTTTCCAGCTACCTTACATCATAAGAATTTCCCACTGGCAAGACATGTTGCTGATTGGGTATGCGCCGCCACATCTCATGCTTTGAAATTGTCTTGACCTCGGCTGCGAGCAGGAGGGTCCAAAGTATCAGGACCTTCATCCTGAGACCAACATCACAAAGAACCATAAACGTCTTGAGCCCAAGCCTCTTTAGGCTCCAAACCTCGCCGAGCTAGTTCTGAGGTTTGCTGGAATCCTAACGCCCAGCACATGGTTTAGGATGGTTTAGTGGTTTAGGGTTTAGGTGTTACGAATTTAGAGCATCCAGGGTGAACGGCTTTCTTCTCAGTTCGGGGGTCAGTTTGGCCGGTGGTTTATCAGGAACCACCTCTGCAGCAACTCGCTTCCACCAACTTGCTGTAGAGTTTTCGGGTGTTCAGACGTCCGAAGTCCTAAATGGGAAGGTACTGGGGAACAAAGGCCAAAGGCAAGGCTTGCATGGTTTCGGATATACGAAGGAGGCGGTGCGATAGAGTACCAATGCATTCAAGCCTGAAGCGCCTTGCCGGGGAAGCTCAGCTGAGAGCCAAGGTCTTGCGAACATGGATTACAATGCCGTGGACTGAGAATCTTGCATTCGCTGATTCCCTAACCCCCGAACTGTCAGGATTCATGGTCTTGTGGTGCTTTGCAGATAGTTGAGTTGAGTGTGTCCTAGCACAACAATCCTGTGAAACCCTGCAAAGCCGTTCCGAAGGCCTTATCCTTCGCGCCCAAAAAGAAAGCTCCTCCAAGAACCGTGCAAAACCCGGTGCAAATGCTCTGCGTGACCCCTGCAAAACCTTATTACAGCCTTCTGAAGCCGGATTGTAAGACCCTATGTAAACCCTAAACCTTTCTAAAGCCTTAAACACTCTAAAATCCTACTAAACGCTTTTTTGCCCTCGTAGCAAAAAGCAGAAGCTCGGCCTGAGGTTCGTCAAGCAGCCTTGTTTGCGTGCAGCACGGCCGTAGGTACAGGGTTTCGGCTGGGGTTTTTTTCGGTTGACAAACCCACTAGGGTTCCCGCAAAGGGCTCCTGGTAAGGCTTTCGGCAAGGTTTTAGCGTGTTTAGGGTTTTGGGTCTTGGTGTTTACGGAAGGTTTGGAGATTGTAGGGTTTAGGGGTCTCGCGTTTGGCAGGTTTAGAGGTCCGGGGTTTATGGCTTGAGAGTAGCGGGTGAGGGGGTACGGCTTTTGGTGGGCGGTATTAGTCTTAAGTCTTAGTTTAGTCTCTTCCAGGTCTCAAACCGGTTATAGTCTTTGATTTGGGGCTTAGGATTTGGGTCTCTGGGTGTGGGGGATGCTTCGCACGGGCTGAACCCCTGTCGCTCATTCAGAGGTTGATCATGTAAGCGCCTAAGCCCTAAACCCTACGCCCTAGCACGTTTACGGCTTCAGGGCTTTTGAGATTTTAGGGCTTTTGAGTTGAAAGCTCAGGGCTCGGCTTGGAGAGGTGTAGGGTTCTCGTAGGGTTTGGGGTTCAGGGTGTTTGTCTGGCCCTATACTTCAGTGAAATCCTAGGCCGAGGCCACTTCACCAACTTAGGATCCGCAACAAACACACTCTGACTACGTCCGAAACCCGTCCTGTGCTGTCAGCCCTGACTCCGAACATGCAGCCTTCAAGTTGAATCGAAGCCCCGAAGTACCCCATGGCCCCGAAGCGCAAAGCTTCCCAGGTTGCAGACCCCGGAGGAGATACCCAAGCCCTCAGCCGCCAACCCAAAACCCTCCTGAAGCCCCAAAGCCACACCCGAACGCTAAACTCTCGGGAGGTGGTGGTCTGGGCATCGTCATCTCCATGGTCGTTAACTTGGCGCGGGGCTCTGCGACCGAAGAGTCTTAATGTCATTCTGTCCAGAAGCATTGTTTCTGCAAGATTTTCCTCTAGGGGGTCGAGCTTCCTCCCTAGGAGCTGGGGCTTGAGGTTTTGTGGCTGATAGCACCATTCATCGTCTTCAGCCGGTATCGTTAAACTCCTTGGCATCCCCCATCTACATTCTATCCTCATCCTCCACAACGGTTCTGCTACACGTGTATTTCCGAAAGCGTGCGTTCTCTGCGTACGGCACGAGATGTTTGCTTGGAGCCCGAAATCTTATGCCCGAACCCCGCGGAAAACCGAAACCCCAAACTCTGAACCACCCTAAAACCTAAACTACTCTGGGCCTTGAGAAGCCTGAATACTTTTACTACTGACAATAGCAACAATAAATAATACTACTACTAGTAAAAGTATTACCAATAATACATCTAGGGTTTGGGCTTATGCTTCCTGGGCTTGAGCCCTCGAGCACGACCCCGCTTAAAGTTGAGCGGTCAGGGTTTATGGTTTAGGTTCAGTGGTCAGGATTTGCGACGAAGCATTGAGAGTTTGGGGTTTAGCGCTGTTAGTATCTCCTGCCACGGACCCAAAATCCGTTTCAAACACTACCATATCCTGCTTGACTTGTAGGATTTCGCTTAACAGTAGGTCCAGCTAGTTTGGCACCGTTTGTGCGATGGCTTGATACACCTTCCGAACCCAACCCTTGCGGATCCCACCTTGCAACGGAATTCGCGCAGTCAAAAAAGTGTTTTTTCATCGCAAGAGTGCAAGGCGACCTGACAGTGAAAGAGGGGAACGAGCATTGCTGTCGTTGTAATTCTGATGCTTCCTCGTAAGTAATTCTGATCCTTCCTCTTGTGCTTTCAGATGTGTCCGATCTTTTTTGGCTGCCAATCTATACACCTAGGGTTTTCGGCTCCAGTCCTAAACCTTAAACCACACTTTCCAGGCGCTGATCGAGATCTCAATCTCCCCTTTCTTTTCGATGCGCCCCGGCCGCAACCCTTTCAGGCCCGATCCTGCACTAAGCCACGAAGCCCAAAGCCACAAGCCCTCCAACCCTCCATCCGTGAAGTCCTACGCCCTCGAAGGCCAAGCACCTTCTGCGTTTTGAAGACACGCCCCTCGAAGAAGGATTAACAGTAAGAGGAACAAGGATGAGAACCACCCAAGCCCATTTTGCAACAGCACAGAACAAGCTGAATTACGCGGGTTGGGGATGATGAAGAGGATGATAACGATGATGACAATGAAGAAGCAGATGATCATGATGACGAGGATTATGCTGGTGATGATGATGATTACAATGATGATGATGATGATGTGGATGTGACAGTTGTGATAGTAGTGATGGTCACGATGGTCATGATGCCCATGTTGTGTGAAGTAGATGCTGATGCAGACTTCAGTGACTATAACGAATGATGTGGGCAGTGATGGCAAAGGGCTACGAATTCACGTATTTCTGGATGCAAGACTCCTCGTTCAGTTCTGAGATCTTCGACGAGTGATTCGGGCCTTCCTTCTGG